ACCAAATTTTCAAAAGCAAACATTTTTCAAAACTTTTTAACAGGGTATAATAAAAGCAGAAAAATTAGAATTTAGAATTTAAAGAATATATATTCACATTCATACATTAACTTTGAAAAGTCTTATTTCCAGATATTCTACAAAAGGAAAACCTTAAAAGTTGAACAATAAAATTTATGGGTACACTGTAGTTAGAACCCAACTTTATTGTTACAATCAATTTTTATTTACAGAATATAAATCTCTTCAAAAAGATACATTCCTTCATTTAATCAATGGCATAAAGCCTTATTAAACAGAAATAAAGCCTAAACATCACTTATATTTAAACAGAAATACAAACCGCTTCATTAAAAGTTTGTGAACACATACCAAAAATGTAGTTTTACTTAAGCAGTTACATGAATGAGGCTATGCTTAATTTTCTTCACTGCAACCCCATTTTATCCACAAAACAAATTTTACTTAAATTAACAGTAGTAAAAATGTAAAAATTAAATTCTAAACATGAAAATATGAAACAAAAAAAAACAGGAAGTATCTTCATTACTAAACAGATTAACAAATTCTCAGACACTCAGATACTTTCTGAGGCATGTCAAAACACCTACATCAAAAGTTGCATTCATTTGAGAGGTATCAATACATTTTCAGTGCTGTGACTATCTGTAGCACTTACAGTATATACAAAGCAGCATTAAACTACTATGGTTCACATTTGATAAACACAAATTTAAGCTTTATGCCACACTTTCCCAATTCAACATATAGCCAATGCAATGACAGTTACTCATTTCATTTTTTTCTTCTGGAAGTGAATAAGGACATTACTATTTAAACATATGTAATAATGCCATGTCTTTTTCCTTATAATCACAGTTTTTATTTTAAAAATCAAATACTTCTTAGCATGGAAACTTGACCCAGCTATACAAAAGCTCCTAAAGAGTACAACCAGAAAGTTTCCTATCTGCAAATAACATTTATAGTTACTTTAATACAGGTAAGTATAGGAAACTACTTTGGATTACTGGACAATAGAAATTTCAGGGTGTCACTACCTATAATTAAGTAGCAAGCACACCACAACCACAACCATGGCAAGTTAACACTCTCATCTCCTCTACTGCTTTCGGGGGTCTTTTCTAGGCCACAGGAGCTAGTTTACATGGACACCATTGGGTTTCAACCTATCTCTGAAAGTTCCCTAATTATAAGTTTTGAAATTTAACTAATGGGACACCAACAATTCCAATCAGTTAAGTTTTCTTCTTATTCTTCACTAATCAGTTCAAATAGAATATGTAGTGTTTTCAATTTTTGCAAACAGAGGTGTTTTATTAAAATGATTAATGGTATTTTGAATGGGTAATATGTTAATGAAAATGAAATTAAGAATATTTGAGAAAATAATTTTTTTCATAACTAGAAAAGGTATAGGATTCAGAATGAAAGTAAGACATAATAACCATATTTTAACCCTGTTGTTTTATAACATCAGTAATATAGCAAGTTCATAAAGTACAGAAAAGAAAAAGGAATTTTCAAGAGAAAAATGAACTAAAAACTTGAATTTCAGATGCCTCAAACTCAAAAAAGTTTATAGTGCTTATAAGCACAATCATTATTTTTTCCATGCAAATAGTTCAGATTCATTTCATTTCAAATTATAATCCAGAAAATTTACAGCATAAAAACTCTGTTCAGAAAAATCGAATGCATTATGTAATACAGCCTCTTAGTTTCATTTTCAAGTATTTAATACAAAGCCACGTATTTTCTTTTATAGCAACACATTTACAGATTGAGCTTCAAAGAAGGGGGAAAACTCATTTAAAATAATTGGTAGGCTTTTCTGTCCAAAGACATCACACCCAAGACATGACACTGTAATCACACACAGTGATATAAAAAAGAAAAAAGGGTGGTTTAATATAATGTCTTCTTTTTAAAAAGAATCAAAACCAATGGCCTTAATATGTAACTAAATCCCTAGTAAAAAAACATTCTAAAATCTAATGAAAAAAAAAAAAGAACAGATCAATTTTGAAATAAAGATAAAGCTGCTTTACCACACACTTATAATTCTTTTTTTCCGTGCGTAATAATTACTAGCATTTCCCTTCTGTGTAAAGTAGGGCAAGCTGCTTCCAGTAACAAAACTCTCCTAGTATAAACCACTGCTCACTTTGTCTACCCATTCAATGACTGATTAGTAAAAGCCTAAGTCCATGTAACTTTGGAATGCAATATAAAATGTTATTAAAAGCAATTTAAAGCAGAAAATAAAACTGATATTTTCATTTACAATATGCAAAAAGCAATTCACAAAATGATATAGAAAGCTTCTGTATAATGTAAAAAGGAAATATCTGTATCATTTTAAAAGTGAAGGTTTTTAACTTTTGAGAGTTTGGGGGAACTTCTTTGTCTTTAAATGTAGAAATTTTAGTAACATGTATTTATGATGTTAAGTATTTTTCATTCAGCAAAAACTAGAAATAGTTGTCATTAAAAGATTATCTATGTCTTTTCTGTCTTTTACATTCCTATAAAGAACAACTTTAAATTTAGAGAACTCATCTGAGATACACTTTAAGATAAACTAAAAGCTATTCTTTGTCCTATCTTTTGAATGCATGGGATTTAGACACATACTGAGATATATAAAATTTCAAGGCTTTTTTTTATAGGAAATTGTTAACAACCCTGAAAATAGAAGAAGGTAATACTTCAGTTTACAACCATTATATTTTTAATTTCCTTTAACACAGACTCATGACTCAAAGAGTGGAATTCTATTAATGTAACAGTGTATAAATTCACTGCTTTCAGGAGTCTTACCTCACAAAAAGTAAAGGCTGACTAAAAAATGAAGAAAAGTCTTATTGGGCACTGAGAGGCTAAATAAATAAGAACTAACATTAACCAAAGCTGATAAAACCCTACGTCCAGTTCCTGTGATCTCACTGTGCAGCCCAAACTGTTGGCTATTTCCAGTCTATAACCAATAAGCTAGATCATTTCCTTACAGAAAAAAATTCTACAAAAGGGGAGAGAATGCAAAACAATACACAATCTCATATGCAAGATACAATTCACACTAATTTACAAATTTTTATTTACACTGTTTTATATACATTCCAGGCAGACCTAGTTGATGAGTTTTGTGCTCATATTGATCTCAGGCGATCATGTGAACAGCATGACTTACTACCACATCTCTTAGATATCCAGAAATGGTAGTAGCATGGGGTTAGGAGGGAAAAAATCATCACTGGTCAGGTAAGATCATAAAAGTATGAAAAGAAAAAAAAGAAAGAAAGGAATTGTGGAATTTTGCTCATTAAAGCATCCAGGCCACTGTGGTCTACTAACATTGAATATACATGAATGCCACTTCTCACAGCCATTTTCATATATACAAAATGAGTGTACTACCAGTTGAGTTAATTAGATAAGGCATTCAAGTTCCTCAGCTTAACATAAAAAAGGCAACAGATATCTCAGCAAGCCACAGGACAAATTTTTGAGCTGATTTTAGAGCACTGTTGAAGTTTACCCTCCTTAAGAATCCCTTAAATGGTCAATATAAAGGCTAACAATTTGAAGCCTACTGCTAGCCTGCATGAAGATCCCAAAAACCTATACAGGAAGTAGAAGCATCACAACACTCAAAATCTAGCCAAAGAGTGGGGGCCATACCTTAAATACTATATCTGTTCCCAAGATCCACTGCGCACTCCTAGAGCTAATATGAGTGCCTTTTTTCCAGGTTACATTCACTTCTATATGAACCTCTCTAAACCACAAAAGTGTCATAGCTTGAAGCTACGCATGGTCTACCAACAATGGTTCTGTGAATCTCTATTCCATATAGTTTGAAGAACATGGAGGAAGGTAGAAAAATTATCTTAGCTCCTCCCACAATTTTACAGATATATACTGTTGCACTTTAGAAGGCAGAAAGAAAAAAAAATTTAAGAGTATTAATTATTCATTGTTTTATGAAAATGTTCCAATCATAGCTAAAAATTCCACCAAAAACAATTTTTCAAGTTTACCCTAGTGTTATAAAAAGCTACTATTTAATTGGTTCCATTCATTTAATCAACTAGGCAAACTCTATCGATCTTACAGTAATAGGGTTTACAAAAACAAAAATGAACATTTATAACATTGGGGAGGTAGAAACTAAATCTTGATCTAACACTGTTACAGATACAAACACATTTTTAGGTTCTATTTATGTAACTAGAATTCACCATTTGATGGCCTTAAATGTTTCTACTTATTTTATTAGCTTTAAACATCTTGAGATAACCCAAGTATTTTAAAGCATTTGTCTGAGAATATAAGTCATTTAGAATAATACGTCACCCTCCCCAGATTTTGATCTAGTAAGCCAACTTCGTACATGCGCACTTGCGTACATGTAAACAAAGTGCAAAGCTTCTCAGACCAATTTTCTAAGTTAACCATGACTGCTCAACTATACACACCAGACTTCAGACCTTGAAGCCTAACCCATATAACTGCCTCTTTCTCACCCCCAAACAAAATAAAAAAAAATACACTTCAACAAAAACAAGAAAAATTTAACAGAAGCCCTCCTACTATGACTAAACTTAATTCACATTTGTCAGATTTTAAGTGTGTAAAATCAGTGTCCTAAATATTTCTTATTTAATCCTTTTAATTGCCTCAACACATTACACTGAACTTAAGTGTTTCAAGCAAACATTTGCTAGACATGAAACCAAACTAAAACGTAAACTATACGGAAAAAACCTGGACAGATAAAAAAGAATTAATCTAAATGATAATTTCTTATTTCCAAGTATGATTAATTTTAGATATTTGTTTCAAAAACTAACAATACTAGAGACTAATAATTAAAAAACATAGACTATCCCAATAAGTAAAACAAAATTTTTGGTTAGAAACAATTTGATACAGTAAAATTTTAAAAACTAAAACTAGTAACGATAATGACCATATTTAGCATTTCAGACATTATTTAATACACATTTCGGTAGCATTAATTCATACTTATTCCAGGATTATATGGTAAATATTTGTATTTATACTGCCAGACTATGTAGAGAGGGGTAATGCTAAGTCAGATTCTCTTAAAAAGAAATGCTTTCTATATTCACTTCAATAAGATGTACCACCCACAGAGACAGTGTATGTATTTTACCCTTCTAAACAGATATTTTTATATGAACATCCTAAGTTATCTACATCAGTCGCATTTTGAGAGTAAATGATTCCTTTTACTAACAGTGCATCAAGATAAACTGGTTACACTGACAACTAGCAATGTTTACTACAATTAACCTTATTAAAGTAAAACATTTAAAAATTTCTCTGGAACATTTTCGTTGCTTACACTCAAACAGATAAAGCAGTCACAGAATCATGTTAAATTTATAATAAATAATTCACATATAACATAGATTGAATTAGCAAAGAAAGGTTAAACTGACATCGTTATACCTTTTGCAGATTTAACAAATTTTTAATCCACCACATACTGATAACAATAGGTATATTTCTTGACATCAGTCTATTTAAAAAATAGATTGCTTAGAGGCATAATTTGTAAAGCAAAATAACAAATTAAATAACAGAATTTTAACAAATATTGGCTTTTTGGAATTTCTTCAGAAAAGATTCACAAGCACTGCTCAGCTACTTGAGAATAATTGAATCTCTTCTTTACTCAGGCACTTTTAATGCAGTAACCTCAGGCTTCATTTTAAAGTACTGGTTAAAACGAACAATTGCATACCTAAAGAGAAAAGAGAATAACAACAAAATTAATCAAAGCTGGAAAACTTAATTCTTCCTTATTTTCCACTCACCCTTCTAAGCTGTTTTTTTAGAAATTTAAGATTTTCAAAAGATGTATTTTTAGTTTATTGCACCACCTACTGGACACTTTTCTAATAATGAAAGCACTTATCTTAAAGCAGATTTCTTCACAGACCAATTTACTCAATGGATGCAGCATTTATAATCTTTGGCCGAAATTAATAACTGCAATCTTCCCTGTGAGTTCTAAATGTTAATCCAAATAAAGAGTAGAAGCGAATGTGATACATATAATGAAATTTAACTTACCCTAGGAAATCAAACTCAATAGTAGAGTATTTGGCTTGAATCAAAGCCCACAATCCCCAAAAGAAATGAGATGCCTTAAAAGGAGAGAAGAAAAATGATAATTATGATAATTCATTTCTTTGTAAAACAAGTATCAAACTGTTAATTCTATCCTCCTCATCAACCATACATGACACTGCCTTGCTGCTCTCTTTTCATATAAAATAACTAAAACACAGATCATATTGAAATGTACAGTCTCTAGATGACTCCAGATCACTTCTGTCCACACCAGAAGAGCTAAGGTAAATTATAATCATTTAAAAATACAGCCCAATTTCTGTGACCTGCTTTGTATAAAGATTATAACATCAGCACTAATAGATGTCAGTTACGGGTTTTCATGCTTCAAATTATTAACAGGTTTTCTACAGCCCGTTATCAAAGGCTTTTGTTTCTTTCTTT